AGAAAAGGCTTAAGATAGTGATTTGTGCATCAGGGACATAAGAGTGACACATGTTGATGCCTGCAACTTGTTTGTTTTAGTAGGATAGAACATACCCTGTTCCTAGAGATTCTCATGTGTGAGTTTGGATTTATTGTGATTCAGAGCCAATTAGAGCAAACACTTCTTAAAATAAATATATTTTTTTTATTGGAAAGGCACATTTAAAGAGAGAAGCAGACAGAAAGGTCTTTGGTCTGCAGGATCACTCCTCAAGTGGCTGCAACAGCCAGAGCTAAATTGATCTGAAGCCAGAAGCGAGGAGCTTCTTCTGGGTCTCCCGCATGGGTGCAGGATCCCAAGGCTTTGGGCTATGCTTTATTGCTTTCCCAGGGCACAAGCAGGGAGCTGGATGGGAAGTGAAGTAGCTGAGACACAAACGTACACCCATGTTGAATCCCAATGGATGCAAGGTGAGAATTTAGCCACTAGGCTATCACACTGGGCCCCATGGGAGATCTTCCTCTCTGTCTCTCCTCCTGTCTGTATATCTGACTTTCGCAATAAAATCTTTTTTAAAAAATAAAATAAATTTCATAAGCCAAATAAAACTGTGCCTAGGCGGAATTTGGCCCACATGCTTTTATTGATGACCTCTGCTCCAATGTTCATTTCAAGTGGAGTGAATATGACAATTGGTGAAGTCAGAACCACAGCCCTAAAAGACAACCATGCCATTTGGGCTAATTGTATGAATGTAGCCATCTCTAAGATGAGGATAATGAAGGTCTGTGGACAGCATGGACAAGAAGGGTAGACAGATGCCTAGACCTTTAAGGAACTGATTAATTTTTTATGTTAATGTGAAGGTGTAATAAATAGAGATATGGGAGACCAAGGAGGTGCAGTGCATGATAGGAAATAACCATTTGAGCTACTGCAGAATTGTCGCTATCTTATGCTTAAGCAAGAAATTAAAGAGTGTATTTGGTGAAAAAGACCCTTAACAGAAAGTTAGACCTTAGGAAAACAGGGTCATTGTGGAATAAACAGTAAACAGAGTAGAACCTGTGTTGGTAATAAGTTAATACAGGAGCCATACTGAAATAAAAGGACTTACTGATTTGTTGTGACCCATATTCTGTTTAAGTATAGAAAGGTAATAAAATGAAGCTGGCCAAAAGAAAGTTACAATTGATTGAAACTTAAACTTGGATTTGTGTTTCATAAAATATCTGACTGACAGGCCAATATTTGACTCACTGGTTGACATGCAGATGAATATGCCCACATTCCTTTTTAGAGTTCAAGTCCTGGCTCCACTCCTGCCATTACACACACTGGGAAGCAGTATGTAGTGGCTCTAATAGTTGGTGTCTGCCTCTCATGTGGGGGACCTGGACTGAGTATCTGGCTTCCAGATTTGGACTGGCCCAGCTCCAGCCATTATAGGTCTTTGGGGAGTGAAAAAGAGGATAGGAACTCATTCCCCTCAGCCTTTTTTTTTCTTTAAAGATTTATTTTTATTATTTTTTTATTGGAAAGGAGGATATACAGAGAGGAGAGACAAAGAGGAAGATCTTCTGTCCGATGATTCACTCCCCAAGTGAGCGCAAGGGCCGATGCTATGCCGATCCGAAGCCAGGAACCTCTTCCGGGTCTCCCACGCAGGTGCAGGTTCCCAAAGCTTTGGGCCGTCCTCGACTGCTTTCCCAGGCCACAGGCAGGGAGCTGGAAGGGAAGCAGGGCTGCCGGGATAGAACCGGCGCCCATATGGGATCCCGGGCGTTCAAGGCGAGGACCTTAACCACTTGCGCCACCACGCCGGGCCCCCCTCAGCCTTTTAATCTACTTTCTTTTAAAATCAATCAGTTATTCAATCAATAAACACTGCTTTAACTCGAATACTCAATTTCATTTGAAACCAGAACGTCCAATACAGCTAATGTTAGCCATGTGCTTACTATGTATCAGATTCTGTGATAACTACTTTAAGTCCAGCAATTCTTTCAATCCTCACAAAATGCAATGAAATAGGTAATTCATCGTTTATTAGCTGTTGTGGTTGTCTCACTAGACTTCTGTGCCCCATTGCCCTGATTGGAAGAATGTGCCTTTCATTGCCATGACTGCTTCCAACACAGTCGCTATTATAAACATCTAATTTTATTGCCTTTTCACTGATGAACCAAAAAGAGGTTGGAGAACTTGCCATATACATGTCTTATAACTTAGCAGGGACTGCGGTAAGATTTCAAATGTCAGCCTCCTCATTGTTGTTACTTTTATATATCTTCATTATTTCCATTTAGTTTTAAAATGTGCACAAAAATTTTGAACGCAGCCTATACCATCCAATCCCCAGTCGTTTCCAAATCACGCAACATGCTTTTCTCTCTGTTGGTCAGAGACAATGCCTGCATTCGCCTATTGCAACTCTTTGCTCACAAGAATTTGGTGGCATCCCCTCTGTGCATAGCACTTTCATCCTTTTATGAGACGTCAACTCATCTATTCTTTACAGAAAATTTGTTAACTTTTCTAACTAGGCTAGTCACCTAGGCATGAGCTCTCATAAATGCACCCACCACTTCTTTCTAGCACTTAACAAAGTTGCCATATATCTAACAGATTTCTATACTAACTTTGTAATTGAGGATGTATTATTTTAGAAAATATTTAACACATGTGTAATAATATGGCTAATTTTTAATACATGCTCTCCCTTTGCTCACTGATTCAGCTTATTTATATCACTTTATTTTAAAGGAAAAAAAATTTTAAGTTTTATTTTATTTGTACATGAAAGGCAGATTTACAAATAGGAGAGAGACACAAAGATTTTCCATACACTGTTTCACTCCCCAGTGGCCATGAAGGCTGGAGCTAAGCCTGTCTGAAGCCAGGAACCAGAAGCTTCTTCCAGGTGTCTCACATGGGTGCAGGGGTCCAAGGACTTGAGCCATCCTCTGCTGCTTTCTCAGGCCATAAGCAGGAAGCTAGCTTGGATGTGGAGCAGTCGGGATAAGAACCATCTCCCATATGGGAACTAGCATCGCAGGCAGAGGATTAAGCCTGAGAAGTCTCTGTGCTGGCCCCATATGATCCACTTTTATCTTTTACTTTAAACTGTCACTTTGAAACTCTTTTCTGACATTTAATGTCCCATATATAATACAGAATCTGAAACCTAGAAAGAATAATGTGTATCTAGTAAGGATAGATGACCATTACTTGATATTATAAAATATAATAACATTAAAGTCAGGAGGATTTGAAAAATCCTATGTGTGTGCTATGGCACACAATTTTTAGGGATATATAATTTTTTTTCCACTGGAGGGTGCAATTTGTCAATGTATCAAGATTTTCATGGCTCTCTTAATGAGTGTTAGTAAAATCAGAGAGCTGTTTGTTTCCCAGATACTAGCATAGAATGTTGGACAGCGATCATGAAACTTTTAAATAAGTGAAACTTGACCAATGGTAGTCTGGGTTTTATTCCACAATATATTTAGGATTTGATTAGAAGAAGTGACTCATAACACAACATAAATGGTAATTTATTCTCTATTTTTGGATACCACATGTGATTTTCTTGACTATTAACTTTTGTAAAAAATGTCTACTAAATATTCATGACAAGAATAAATACATTCCTAACATAAAATACTATGCTGTTTTTGGTTCTTTAGCAGTTATGCACTTGTTAAAAATTCTCTATAAATTATAGATCACTTTCTCTTAATAGATTTTATACCCTGATATAATGTATAGGCTAAGGTTAAATTTAAATTTAGTAAGTATAAATCTATTATATATACTTAGACATATATATATATATTCCATGAGTATGCTTCATATCATATGAAGGCTATTCCATAAGTATGCATTAGATATAATCCTAATAAAAGATTAATTATAGTAATAGTATTTATTGACTACCAACTAGGCATTAAGCACTACTTGCACTTTTCTTTTTGTCTGTGGTTGCTAACATCCCGTTTCTTTTTTTTTTTTAAGATTTATTTATTTTTGTTATAAATTCAGATGTACAGAGAGGAGGAGAGACAGAGAGGAAGATCTTCCGTCCGATGATTCACTCCCCAAGTGAGCGCAACGGCTGGTGCTGTGCTGATCTGAAGCCGGGAACCAGGAACCTCTTCTGGGTCTCCCACGTGGGTGCAGGGTCCCAAAGCTTTGGGCCACCCTCGACTGCTTTCCCAGGCCACAAGTAGGGAGCTGGGATTAGAACCGGCGCCCATATGGGATCCTGGCACGTTCAAGGCGAGGACCTTAGCTTTGGGCCAAGCTGCCGGGCCCCTAACTCCCATTTCTAACTTATTTATTGCTCACAGCAAAGAAATTCTATTTGCTCTATTTAATAGATGAGGGGGAATTGAAGATATCAAGCGACTGGTCCAAGTCCATAGAGTTAGTACCAGGACTCAACCAGGGAACCTGGTTCTAGGACCCAGACCTAATCACTGATTAATCTACCATGATGTCATCAAATATCCTTATAGGCAACATTAATATTAAATATGCTCTTGCACTCCCAATATATTTACTTGCCTTTTATTCTTCAATTCCTTTAGCGATGATTTCTTCTACAGTTGAAAATCAATTGTAAAAAAAATCTATAACTCATATAATAGGAAACGTGTTTTACATTGTTAATTATTAAAATGTTTCAGTTCATGACAGATTATATTTGCCTGTTTACAACTGGAAAGGTAATATTTAAACTGGGTGTGTTTGTGTTCACGTCTTCTCCCCGTTCACGTGCTGAAATCCTAACCCATGTTGGGATTAGATTGGAAGGTGAGAGTTTTGGGGGCTTCGTTAGCTTTAGATAAGGGCCATGAGTCCTTAAACAGAAAAGAGACTAAAGCTCTTCCTCTTTTTTACGTGCTCTCACAAATGTCATAAAACACATTCCCAGGTAGAGAACCCTAACCAAGAGATCAGCCTTTCTGGAACCCTCATCTGGGACTTCTAGTGTTCAACATTGTGAGAAACAAATGTGTGTCATGTGGGTCCGCAGTGTATGACATTATTGTGACAGGTATGTCCTGTACTTTATTTGAGGTCAGAAAAATTTTAGAATACCTTATGAGATGAATAACACTATTTGTTACCCCTCCCCCCAAACATTATTTCACAAACTTCCCCACTCCCTGGCATTTCTTCTTTGCTGAGGCAGAAAACTAGATTCTGCTGACTGCTCTTTAAACTTGTCTAGTGCCATTCATTTGAAGTGAAATGTAATAAAGCTTTTTTAAAGGTCCTTTCTTGCTGGTTGATTCAAGGTTTGAAGGTAGAGGGGGAAGACATGAAGCCTCACTCCAGGTTAGATGACGCCCAGAGGTTTATGCAAAATGTGAAAATCGTAACGACCTTGAAGCTTTTGGCATGTGTAATAATAACAATAACTACATAATAGGTTTGTTCACAAAATAATCTGAATCCCTCAATTCTCACAACATTCTAAGGGAGGTACTAATGATAGAAGCAAGATTCAAAACTGAGCTCCTTCAAACACCAAACATGTTTGCATTTCCTATCACAGGTTGCTCTATTGCTCTATTTATCTTTATATCATTCAAGAGTTAGGAATATCTAGACCTTGACTACAAATCATCCCCCTTATTCCTTGTTTGAGTCTCCAAATCCAGACATGCCCAGAGTAACCTAGTACAGCTGACCTGTGACCTTTCTAGAGAGGTGGTGCTGAGCAGCACAATTTTGAACAGATGAAGTCAAAAATCGCAACAGCACCTGCCGAGGACATTGCCTAGGTGCGAACTGAAGGGCTGTGTGCCAAGGAAGATGAGCTGGAGGATGTGAGGGCAGGGCCTTGCTTCTCCACGTCTCCTTAGAGAACCAACCAGTACTGCCTCCTCTTGCTGTAATTTCCCCCTTGTGCTCCAGCATAAGGCCACAATAATCTTAGTCTTGATTAAATGCTGGTCTTTTATTACTTTAAATTTCAAGAGAGTCAACAACCTGGGGACAGTATCACTAATATTTTACAGGTGAGGGAACAAAGTCACAATGTTAACTCTATAGCTTGCATAAGGTCATTCTGATAAGGTGAAAGCTTCAACTTGGAGTCATGTTTTACTCTTGCACTAGAAAGTGCTATTTCATCATAGAATTGTTGGGATTATTTGTGTAAAGCAAGCTGAGTGAAAAATGTAAGTATAGAACCATAGAATACTTGAAAGTTCCTTAGTTTGTGTTTCTCAGACTAAGACTAAATGCAAATTCATGCATGTCAATGTCTGAAAAATCTATTGCATTTAGTAAAAATCACAATAAGGTTTAACCTCATCCCAATTATAATGGCTAACATCTAAAAATCAAAAAACAGTGAATACTGGTAGGATGTGGCGGGGGGGAAAGTACCCTAATATACAACTGGTGGGAAGGTTCACTGGTACAATCACTGTGGACATAGTATGTGGATTGCTTACAGATCTGATGTAAGACCCATTCATTCCACTTCAGGGAATTTACCCAAAGGAAATAAATTAGTATATGACAGAGTTATCTGTATCCTCATGTTTATTGCAGTTCAATTTACAATAGCTAAGATATGAAACCAACACAGGTATCAATCAACTGATGCCTGGATAAACACGAGATTTATATGCACCAAGGAATGCTACTTTGCTGTTAAAAAAAAAAAAAAAAGAACGCCTGTCTTACAGCAAAATTGATGCAAGTGGGAAGTACTTTGTTTAGTAAAATAAGTAAGTCACAAAAAGATAAATATCATGGTCACTTTTGGATATGATTTTTATTTTTAGCTAGTGTTTATACATCTGTGAAAATGTTGACTATTGTAGTTAGTGGTGAAGTAAGCCAATGATTATGGAGTGTTTTAAAATTATGTATTTGTAAAAATTGAAGAAAAAAGGAAAGGGAAGGGAAGAGAAGGGGAAGAGAATAGAGGAGATGGGAGGGAAGGGGAGGGGAGGAGAGGAGAGGAGAGGGGAGGGGAGGGGAGGGGAGGGGAGAGGAGGGAAATTGAAGAAGAAAGAGAGAGAAGGAGTTATAGTACTTAGAACTGTAACTATGAATTATATTAAACATGTTTTTCTATTAATGAAAATTTAAAAAAATCAGATGCATCTAAAATTGAAGATGTTAATTTTATTTTTAATTTTTAAAGTTGAGCCTTTTTTAAAGATTTATTTGTTTATATGGGAAAGGCAGATTTACAGAGAGAAGAGACAGAAAGATCCTTTAGCCTCTGGTTCACTCCCCACGTGGCCGCAATGGCTGGAACTGAGCTGATCTGAAGGCAGGAGCTTGCTCTGCATCACCCAGGTGTGTGCAAGATCCCAAGGCTGTGTGGGCTGTCCTCCACTGCTCTCCCAGGCCACAAACAGGGAGCTGGAAGGTTCCCCATAAGGGAACCTGGCAGATGCAAGACAAGAACTCTAGCTACTAGGCTATCCTGCCAGGCCCAAGATTATAATTTTAAATCAAATTAAGTTATTTTAAAAGGAAATAATTCATACTAATTATCCATATCCTTCACTTTTAGTGTGTTTTTTTATTCACCGTACAAGGTGTTATAGCAAATGTTTCAAGTAGGGCTTAGATTCAGTCTTGAGAAAGAATCATTATGGGGCAAATTAACTTCAAATGGTCATATGTTGATTGTGTCCAGTTCTCCACTTCCTTATCTACAGAAATATGCAAACAAGTGTTATTAACATGTTGAGGGCTAGAAAGATCAGCACATGGATGCTCTCTATCTTTATCAGCAATATGTAAATATATCTCTTAAAAAATGAAAGAAAACTTGGATATGTTACTGTCTCTTGAAGGACCAAGTTTTTAATTAGTAAAATTAACTAACTACTAAAACTAACTACTAAGGATAAAATGATTAAACATAAGGGACCTTGTTTTGCCCAGCATTGCATGTTACCTAAATGGTGGTTTTTATTCATACATTTTGCTTTCTATTACAGAGAGGAGATGCTATAAAATACGAATATCATCAGTAGTTTAGAATATGTTCATATTCCAAGACAGGAGTAGGAGACATTATAGCCTCTTCATAAAATGTTTTCTAAAAATTTCACATGTTCTCTTGTACGCTAAATATGTAGGTTACAATTCCTATTTTATCCTTTTTAACGCCAAACACTCATAATCTCATTAAGCGTTTTTTAGGATTGTTCTACTCCTTTAAAAACATATAATGATTTTGATATATTATTCCCAAATATTCTTAAATAGCCAGATTTTAAATTTAATTTTGAAAATGAGAAATCACAAAGGGGCAAGTGGTGAGTGGTGGTCAGGAAAACGGAGCCAGAGTTACAGAGCCAGCCAGCTGTAAAAGCGCAGCCAGCCAGGCTCCTAGTCCATCCATGAAATGGAAAAAAGTCAAAAATGGACAACCTTTAATAAAAATATGACATGTTCCAACTTTTGAATCTGAGTACCTTTCAAACCCAAAATCTGTTGGCTGAAGGACAGATGAGGCTTGAAGGACTCTTGCAAAGGTTTAACAACTTTTTTAATGCCTCCACGTAGTTTTTGTGGCTGCACATTTGGTAAAAGGTAATTACTAAACTATTGAGGAATGCTTGACCTCAGAATCAGTGTTTACATTATTACTTAGGAACCCTCAATTTCATCATGATCCTTTTATTAGAGTAATGAGATATGATAGCCATATAATAGGATCCTGGCCCAGATTTAGCTCATAGGAATCTACTGGCTCCTCACAGGGATCCAACGGCTCCTCCTAGGGATCTACCAACTCCTCCCAGGGACCCATTCTCTCCTCACAGGGATCCACTTTTTCCTCACAGGAATTCACTGGCTCCTCATGGGGATCCACTGATTCCTCACTGGCTTTTGCTGCTTCCTCACAGGGATCCACTGGCTCCTCACAAAGGTCCACTGGTTCTTCAGAGGGATCCACCAGTTCCTTGAGTACACCTACATTTATTTATCTAGCCTTTGAAAGTATAATCAAAGTAGCATACTTGATAGTGACATAAACCCCACTTTAATTTTTGGCTTTGTAGAAAAGAGTAAACATAGTGAAGAAGATTAAGTGGAAATCTTCAAAGCCAAGACAGTACGTCACAAACCATATTCCACATCAGGAGGAACAGCAGAGTTAGCACCCCCTTTAAAAAGGCAAAATAATGTTTGCTATACATTCTCAATTGATCCATCCACAGATCTGGCCTCTTCCCAGAGGTCCTAACTTCAGACCCCATGCCTGGATCAAGACTCCAGCCTAGTCCTTCAACCATTAACCTAAGAACTGGGGGTGGCAACATGTTCATGAGTTTGTGAAGCCCAGTCCTATTCAACGTATAATATTCTTGTTTAGGTTTCCCAAAACTCATGTCCATCTTACATACCACATGCCCCAAAGTCTCAGGATCTTAACTTAGCCTCACAACTAACTTAAAGTCCCACTCAGGCAGTTGGTGCCTATCTGACCCCACACATCAGAAACACCCTCTGAAATCTAGGTGAAGGCTCTCACACTGCCACAACTCTATTGGACTTTGCCTACATCCTTACTCTATGAGACTACAAGCTGATGCTGTGGTTTTCCAAGGCTTGCTAGATACACAGCTCCAGGTTTTCCTTGACAGGTGTCTTATTTTTAGCAACTTTGCTTTTCGGGGATTGCCTTTCCAGCTCCACTGTCACAGTTTCACTAAGTATAGCTCCGTGCAAGGGCTCCAACCCTGCGGCATAACTCTCCCTGGCTTTGCAGGCTTCCCTTGAAATCTTAGTAGGAGCTGCCATGATCCCACAACTTTTGTGTCCTGCATGCCTGCAAAACTAGCATCATACAGACAGGGTCAAGGCCTGCTGCCAGCAGGAGACACTGCCAAACGTGCTTGTGTCAGGGCTACAGTGGCTGGAGAGAATTTTGTCAACCAGCCAGAAGTAAGAGCGCACCCTGGAACTTCCAGAAACAATTATACCCTTCCAAGCCTCTGGGTTGTGTTGCAAGGCAGCCCCAAAGATCTCTGAAATACCCTCAGGGTCTTTCTCCTGATGTCTTTC